CAATTGTCTCCAAGTTATGGGGAGCCTCAATTATCCGAGCAAGTGATCAGAATTCCCGGATCATTGGAAATACTGTAGTAAGAGTATACAGTATATAATAATTCTATAAAGTTTATATTGATTTAAAGATCATTTGAAAAGGGATTTATTTTAAACATTCTTCATTGATTTGAAAATGATAACGGTTATACTGTAAGCAGTGTAAAGAATCAACTCAATTTATCATCTGAAATTAAAGATTAAATTAAAGATTAAGGATTATGAAGAAACCCGCTCGCGACCCATGGTGCGCGGGATGCTCATTCTGACGTTTCGAATGTTTTCACAATACTATTGCAGTTCATACTTCAGAAACAAAGTCAATTGAAATATGTCTCGAGAATCATTAAAAGTATAAGTTTCAGAAAATTGCATTGCTTGAGAAATTTCGAGCGCATAGAAATCCACTTGGGAATTGAGAATTTGTTTCAATTCTACATACAGTGCTGTATGTATAATTCTAACGACTTCAAATTGACACGTGTTATTATTTTGACATGAAGCATTTCATGCAAAATTTCAAGTCAATCGGATGATTTAACTGGGTGAAATTGAAATTACAAGATTATTTTTCGCGTACATACCAACCCGAGATCGAAAAATACAATGCTGTGGGAAGAAATAATCGTCTGGACCCACAGAAAGTCTACTTGGTGATGAATGTTGCGCGTATGCTGATGTGTGGAATTTTGTATGTTTTTCAAGGATACATTTCATTGAATTCACGATGCATTTTAAAATACAGTAGTACTGCACGTCATATTTGAAAACATTATCCGGGATTATTAAAAAATTTAAAGACTTCAGGAGATCGGATACTACAAAATTCCGGTACGCGTTTTCGGGTGGCAGAAGCCTCTGCTGAGCTCGAATAGATTTCAGTATTGGCGAGTCATCAGTCATTCTTCCCCATGGATGATTTAAAACTCGCGGAAAGCTTGGAAATCGCGTGTCTTAGGCTGTGCTACATGTTTCGTACATTGGAAAAGAATGATGTTGCATCTCGGCTCTTGTCAAGTATGCACGCGTACGTTTCCGTCACGGTTCCTGGGCGATCGGAATCTGAAATCTGTGCGATGATTAGACTTTACGCAACTAGAAAGAAAAATCCGCGGGTGGTCCGGAGTCATGATTCGAAGGATGTACACGATCTTCCTTCGATCGACGGGGCGACGCGGATATCGATTTCTTCCCTGGTCCGATGCCCCAACCGTTCATCTCTCTCGACCGGTGGAAAATATTTCAAGGGGGTGAATGGAATTGGTCTCGCCGCTGTAATGGACGGAACTTCCCGGCTTTCTGCCGAAAACATGACCCGAAACCAAAGCTGGAAGGGGAAAAAAGGCTGCAGAACAAAAGGGCGCCCGCGAACCTCATTTCTGCACTTTCCCAATGAACCCCACACCGCCAAAGAAGCACGTGAACGACAAGTTCAACGTAGGAAGAAGAAAAAAATAAATACTCGAGCCTGTGCTTTCAAGCCGCCCGGAGGGGCGAGACAAACATTCCGCGACGGAAATTCGTCCCAATTGGATAATTGCCTTGTTGTCCCCCCACGGAGTCATTAACAACTCGCAGTCTGTGAGATGTGGGCCTGTCCAGACTGCATCTTCGTAGCATAAATTTCGCATTTTTCTTCGGTTTGCTTTCGTCACGCTTGCCCAGGTAATGCTGGAGTTCAGCAGGAGACGCGTGGAAGAAGCTTCTGCACAGCCTGCTCGTGACCGGCGATATTTACCGGACAGAGGATTTTCATAGAAGCAACCGAGGACGCCTCAAAAATGCTTCGTTCCATAACATCCTCAGTCCGACGGTTTCAGTACTCGAGTATCGCCGGCATGTGCGTGAAAGCCACTTTTTTTCTGCGCAACGGATTTCTATAATCATGCACCATCTGGGCTTAGAATCAGATCAGTAACCGAATTCCCCATTGCTGACCGAAACAAATGGAGCCTGCGTTATCGCAAGAATCGTGCGCAAAACGTGTTGCAAATTAAAATGGCATGCGCATTTGTAATCGAATATACGGTACTTTTCCCGAATCGGATTAGTACCGTAGATTGGGAAAGGGATTAAGGTCAATTTTTTGAGGAAGAAGTACCTCATTCATTCGAATAACATACTCTCTTTTTAAAGTGGCTCAGTAATACCAGGGTACCCGCTTTATTTAATGGCGCAATTTTTAAGGTGGCGCCATACAGTTGCAGGCGTCTTACATGCGAAGATAAGATACATAATTGTTTTTTTATTAGACACATTCTGAGTGAACTTCCGAATCATATCACAACCCACAGCAGCTTTCAATTTAAGGACACAACGGTTGAATTTTAGAATTCTCCCAGAAGTGTTCGGGAAGGTTAAACGAAGGTTAAACGGAATATTAAATGGTGCTTCGTTAATGAACCTAATCTACAAGTATTATTCAAAAAATCGAACAACCGAGAACCTGAAGCCTTTGTATGATAATTGGTTTTAAATCCACAAGCACCCTTTAATTGAGTACTGTAATGTGGAGCTGTATTGAATGGCCAATCCATTCGAGATCCATTGGATTTACAAATTTAAAATCTTGAAAGAATTACTGAATAAAATTGTATCACATAAAATAGCACCAAAGCACACAATATAAAAAAATCATCGATACAATCAAGAACACAAACAAATTTACCAACTCCGGAAATGCGGGACGGTACCTCTTCTGCCAGCTACATTTTTTTGCAGCACCTTCGATTTTTTGAAAGGGCAATAATTTTTCATTCGTCTATCATCAGAAAGGTGGATGGATCGGTATCCGAATTGGGAATCGGTGGAATTCTGTGTCCACTGCGCTAAAAACTCACCACTTTGAAAAAAGCAGAGCATCGCACAAAGAAAAGGGTTTCCGTTTTGCGAGCTGTCCATTTTGCTGGATGCCACTGCATTCGGAAAAGTCGTCGTTTTCGTGTGGCATTCTTCGGCAGCATTCTTTTTCTCTCGACTTCATTCCACAGAAGTAAATGATTCATTGGTGCATTTCCTTTACGACTCCTCGTTTGTTTCAACGCATTTCAGCATTCTTGCGCGCAAGGCTTCCATGGTGTCGTTGATGCATTCGTAGGACATCGGATCGCTGGCTTTAGGAGAGGATACCTTTGGTCACGACGGCGAACGAGACGGTGGAAGCGAAAAAAAAGAACAGGAATGGCTTCACTGGTCAGCACCACCTCCAGAGAGGAGATGAAAAGTAAAAAGCGAACGATAATCGTCGGTGATCTCACGCAGACATGCGTCCAGCCTTGGCTCGGAACTCCAGACGGCAACGAAGTCGTGCAGGAGTAGACCCAGCTGTCGCATTCATCATCAGAAGCCTCAGGAGTCAAAGTAACCTCAGCAAGTTTTCTCGATCATCAATTTTTCATGCCCTCTGCTGCTCATACGGCTCAGAAGCCCGGCGTAATTTCGGCCCGCAGCTGCGAGGAAGCAGTTTGTTCGTGTTCTTTCGGTATTACCCCCACTTGCGGACGGTTCACTAGCGCGCGAGAGCTCTTGAAAAGCGATTCTACGGGAACCGGACCTCGGGAGTCCACTCCTCGTTCTTGCCAGCGTCCGATACTTCAGAACAGAGTAAACTAATAATGTGTCTTCGTGGCAGAACGTGCGATGGGCCTCAACGACGTTGTTCTCGGGCAATTGGGTCTGGCCTGGCATAATGACGCAACGTGGGAGGCAGCAAATCAATGCGACCGCTTGGATCAATCAATGGCGGGGTAAACTGAGGCCCGAGGATTCGTATTGGTGGTGGGCGACGCTTGACAAGGCCTCTCAGATTCTACCAAAAATAGACACAGAACAAGTTCCCACGCATTGAGACAACAATCCGGAAATGTAGCAGCTCACATACGCACTTCAGGAAGCAAAGAGTGGGGTTTTCAAGTCCTCTGGAAAAGTTTCAAAAAATTAGCGTTCCAGGCCTTCCACGTCGACAACTAGCTGCACTTTTAGGATTTTCTATATAATAATGTCTGAGCAGCAACGTATCCATTGCAGTAGACACTCCGGCTTATGATCGGACGCCTTCGCCGATCATTCAAAATTGTAAAATTAAAAATGCATAAATTTGTACTCAAGGATTAATTATTTTTCCTTCAAGAATGACCGGATACCGGCATATCCAGCACAAACCTTGAGAATACCAATATCTTCCCCTCATGCATTTTTCTCTAAAAAAAAAATTACATGAGAAGGTCTGTGATTCTCCTTGTGTCTTGCTTTTTATTTTCAAGATAATGGGACTTTTAAAAATCAAAATGTGCGAATCTCCATATTATTTTTAAGGCGATAAGAGAGTAATAGTGCAGCTTAAATCAAATTACTGCATAGTACTCTATATCCACAGCTTTTTTTCCTTTCCAATTTATTCAAACTTCTGGTATGTCTAATGAAATGAGCGGTCAGTCAAAGACATGAAAATTCAGGTTATATACTGTACCTAAACGGGAAACCCGTTTCCAGGTTATCCTTCATAAAGTCCAGCATTGCTAAGGTGTAGTGCGTCGTCATTTTTCAGCCTTTTTTTTCAACAACGAAATATATATCGTAATAAAAAAATAGGTAGAGCTCTTCTTGAAAAAATCAGATCGTGAATATTAAAAAGATTAGCTCGCTGCATAAATGTAATGAGAAATTTCCACGAAGAAAATCTTTTTAGCATCGGATGAATGCTGATGAACAGTGATCGAGGGCGTTCATGGGGCACAATCGAAGCGATAAATTTCCTGATCTGTAATGGTGCGTCACTTACGAAACAATGTTGGCCAACGATGTGTTTTCAGAACGCCGCATTTGTATCAGCTCACATAGTAAACCGCGGAGCAGCCCGTCGGACGATAGCAAGGGAAAATGGCAATTTAAGGTCGCCATCACTGAAGGAGCCTACCTATGCACGCAGGTACGAATCGAGCTCCGAGGTATCCTCCCAGGGCTCAATCCGAGTCAGGCCACTGAACCACGCGGGATCCTCCAGGGAAAACTCGGATCGTCCCTTCCATTCGACATAATCCGAAGGAATGACCGGCGCGCAACCGTTCATTTATTCCCAGTGACCGACGGTCAGGGCAAGGCATTATCGTTCCCCACTTCGCCTCTCCACCATCCCTGACTATCCCCGACTCTCCAGGAGATACCTTGTTTCTAGCACTTCTCCGGGGATGGCCAAACCGTCTTTCCTTGCATAGTTCGTGCGGAACGCGTCGTCTAGAATAATCGAGAGGTGGGAGAACAGTCGGTATTTTGCTCCCACCAAACTTGGAACAAGATTTATTCGAAAAGGCGCTTTGTAAGCCTGGCATTCTAGGTAAAAATGGTGAACAAGGTTTTCTGATCTTTTTGATATGATTTTTTCCATCTTTTCCCTTTTTATTCATTTTTTCCTCCAGAAACTTTCTTACTGCTGACAACTTGTACCATGAGACCTATTTTAAAATCATATTACTGTACATGGCGAAGTCCCCTGAGTTCTGCATTTATAATCGAGTACTATACGCAGCATAAAGTAAGACGCGCACCAGGGTTTTTCAGTCGGGAATTTTGTACAAATACTATCCCCCAGTAAGACTCGCTCCCCCTTTTTTTCCTCTCAAATTTGAGGGGAAAAGGGTGCGCACGGTACTCGAGTAAATACAGGTATAAACAATTTCACATTTTTTGTATCAGTTGTTTGTTCAGTGAACAAATATGAAATATCTAGGGTGATGACCTCAGGAATACAATCTGTGGTTGACATTATAACTGACGCTATCATGATGACCCGTACCTTCCGATGTACGCGTTGAAAACTGGGACAGTGGACAACATACAGTATTTCAAGCTACTTTTGGAAATATGCAAATGTTCGGATTCTAAAATGCGACGGATGTCCGTCATAAAACCAGCACATTAAAAATGAAGCCACTTATTAAAACCCCGTTTAAAAACAAATTAAAACACTGGAAAAGGATCCAAGCCTCCTACTCCTCAAATTGATCAATCTGAAGCATATTATTTTGACATTCGAGATTATCATGTATTTGCTATTGAATGAGATCCATGCTGCACGACGTACTGAATATATATTTCAATATTATATAATGTTTCTGTCTCATGCTACTCATGCTCAACAAGGACAATGTTAAATCCAAATGATACCATTGAAAAGAGGTTTTCCGTTTGCAGCTCCCGAACAAATGATACATAAGGCATTGATCAACATATCAAGTTAGCATGCAGCAGCACAAGCTAAATATGAAGTAAAGAACTACAACATGTTATACTCTTTCTAGTTCTTAAAAAGCATATATTATACAGTATTGTAACGATTGCATTTTAATTCTGATGCGGAAAATGCTTCCTGCAATTCAGAATATTTATTTGGCAAGTATTCCAGTATGCGATTTCGGATCATTAGGACAGTACCTTTGAGGACGAAGCATGAACATAGCGCCATTAAATTCGAAGCCCTCCGATCTTCTTGAAATATCTTCAAATTATTGGTGGTTGTCATGTTTCACTATTATTCTTCTCGACCCCGAGTACGTTCAATTCACGCAGCTGAATCAATTCATTCGGTTAAAATAACCCAATCATTCGTGGAATTTTAATTCTGCGAAGTGATCTGCTGCGATCAAGCTGGTCATCGTTATTTTCAAAAAGGCACGCATAAAAGCTCTAGCTGTCTAGCATTTCCAGGTAACTCTAAATTCCGATAGCAAATTAATCATTTTTCATCGTTGGGGAGGAACACGAAAGGGGTCACAACTCACAACAAATACGGCGAAATGCTGATACCTGCTGCTGATGCCTACATTAATTAATAGGCCACGAACTTGCGAAGTACAGTAAATTTCTCATTTCCTGTGGTCAGCTCGATTGCGCTAGACGGCTAATTACGAGCTGATTTGTATTGTAAAGAAACTTCACCAGAGGAATTAGAACAGATCTAGCAAATATATGGAAGCCCGCCTGGAAAGCCATCCAATGTGTGAGAGCGACACCTACACAATAAACAAAACTGTGTGCAATGTTCATCACTCCTTGTTAATATGTATCTACATACCGTAATCTGACTCGCTGACTAAAATTTACAGATTTTACATTTTTATAGGCAGCAAATTTCTGCGTAAGCGTAAAAATACCCCAACGGTAAAATTCAAAGTTTTACCACCACAGAGATGTCCACAAGTTCACAGTATCTTACAAGTACATCGTCATCTTCAATGGTATGCGAAGGACTCAGAAATTGTCGGAGAGGTTTGGGGAAGAAGCACGTATTTCCGTAGTAAATATCTGTCTCACATTGAAAAAATATTACTGCGGTGAAATCACTGGAAAAATGAATCATCTTCACGTAAAATGCGACTTCGTTCAGTTTTCACCCAAATGCACACTGCATCATTTGGAACTGGCTATCAATTGAAGTAATCGTCCCTCCAAGCACTGTTTCCAGAATGAAAATGTGTCCGTCTGAAAGAGGATTTATTTTTCTTTGAAATAGAATTCTTAGTAACTTCCTGTTGTTAAAATAACAGAAAAAATATATATGACCAAGAATTTAATTAATTTCTTCGTAAAAAATCATGCACCATTTCTAAATGAGCTAAAAATGCTATAAACTAGTATCGAACAGATGAGATGCATACAGTGCGTGTGTGGTTTCATGGGCGTTCAGGCTAATTTGTTTGAGTACCAGCAAAAATTAATGATTTGCCTTATTAGCACGCCATACGCCGTCTAATCGACTAGCTTTGTTTTAATACAATATTGTTTATCCGTACGATATCTGTCAGAGGGAACTTCAATATTAGATCAAATCAAGCGGTTGGAAAATAATGAGTTTCACGAACTCTCACCTTTTCTTTTTAATTGATACGAATTTATTTGCCTACAGGATTGCAGTTCAACTGTACTACCCTAAGCAGCTTCAACACAGGTTATCACCGCATTAAAATTATTTCAAAAATCGAATCTGGCCCGTATAAACATTAATCTCAAACACTTGATGACTAATGTAGTTTCATTTTTACACGGTACAATACATCCATATACAGTACAAAAGAATATGCCACTCAAAATTTGACACACTCGTCGAATGATTTCTCATAACCATCTCAACATACGTAATGCTCAGAAGATGAAATGTGCTTCCATATTTAGCTTAATTCAAGTTAAGTGTAGTAATTTTAATTGTACATAATCTGAACTATGAGCTAAATATTGAAAATCGGGCGAATAAGGAACATTTTATGTTGATCAATTTCATTCGGGTAAATTGATTGAGGGAAATCCGCTTAGATATGAAAACCTCCATGCACTACTTCTGGTGTAAAGCATGTTTTCCCGTTATAAAGTTTAGAACAGCATCTTTGATCGAAGATTTAGTTCAGCATGGAATATGAATAGCATTTAAAAGAACGATGTAGTGGAAAAATTAATCCAAGTTTAAATTCAAATCCAAATTTTTGAAGTGTATTTCAAGCAAGCAAAAACGGACATCACGGTACCGTCTTCCGAACGAAGTGAAAAGTGAGAACTACCAAAGTCGAATGAAACTTTCACGACAAATTATTGTTGAGCTATTTCTCTTCTCTTCAACGGAGAAAAAATACAAACTTCTTACACTTCATGATTTGTACTTTTCTAACATCACGCATTCAAGTCATTGGCGCTAAATGTAAAGCTCAACTTCCGCGGAACAGACTAGAAACACGACTCAAGCCGCCCGGATGCAAAATCATTCAATGGCTGAGATTATTGGAAGCCTTCCTACCTCGATAATTTCGCGGGGAAAAAGAGCACAAAACGATGAAGAACAAATATGAACTGCGAAAAACTAGCGGAGAAACAAATACAGCACAACTTTCCCAGCATTTAAATCATTGAAGGCATTAATGTCAAATCGAGTCCTTTGCAACGCGTACTGAAAAACGGATCCAACACCTCAGCTTGGAGACCGAATACGTGAAAAAAACAGTAATGGTCACTTGAAAGCATTCCTATTACACGAAGGAATTAGACTTATCACAAGGGATATGCTCGTCAAGCGTGAAAATTTACCCGAGTACACCCGCATTTCTTGAATCACATCTTTTTCCGAAAAAGCTCTCATTTTACCCGTGAAACTTGAATTTTAAAAAGATGCACAGTTTTTAAATTCTGATCATTCCTAAAATACTACCCAGCCGTTCGTGTTTTCATACCGATCCTTTTTTGTCGACATTCATCACAACCATTCGAAACGTAGAAACCGAACAATTGCGAAACAATCGGAGCAACACACCCAATGAAGATTAAGTGAGGTTAAAATCTCATCACACCCACGAAATCCGGTTTCTCTTTATGAAATCAAATCGGAGTTCAATTCCGCTCTCAAATCGACAAGCGTCCGACGAAAATGGATGACCGAAATTCACAGGAAGAAAACGCGGTAAAAAGAATAACAACGTTCTCGATCAAAGATCAGCAAATGCAAGAACAAGATTTTAAAATAAAAACCGACGTCAACCAGGAAAATCTTCCGATCTGCTACATCGCTGACTCGTTCCAAATATGAAAGCCATCCTTGCGCAAAATAATCACGGCAGTTCTGCAGAAAAATGCGAGAACAATTCCATGAACCGAGAATCATTCTTCAATCCAATTATTGCAATGCATCAGAAGCAGCGTATGATGTAGTTGGTTTTCTAGATCATTCTATTATATTCGACAATGAGAGCATTAGAAGAAAATCCTTACCAACATTGACAGAGCGCATACAGTACATTCACATAGGATACAATAGAGAATTTGTGTGCCTCGGAAACAATCGAGAGAGAACCTTCACATTTAATGCGAAAAAAAACTTACCGTTGAAATCATTATTAAATCAAGAATCAGCATTTCAGCGAGCCCGAAAGTTGTCCTCGACAGGCATTGGAGGACCTTCGTTTGAAAATCCGTAGCTCCCGATTTCACAATTTTCCAGCATTTCAAGCATAGCATCATATAGTTCCAGGCGAAGAGAGCCGCAAGGGTCGAATGGATGCAGATTTGGGTCATCAAGATCATGTGAAGAATGCTCTACCAGACATTTGCCCTCAGCTGCCAGTGATTTCTGTCTCGAAATGTACGCTCTCTTTCGTCTAACTGTGTCCGCCACACTCCTCGCTATGTTCATAACGAACTTCAAGCGATTAGCATTGTACGCACCATTGTGACTGTCTGAATATTGGCTTGGATTCGAACACAAACTTCCATGCGAAGAAAAAGCACGCAAAATCGAAGACTCAGAAGGGTCAGTTTCAGCTGTCTCTTCGTCGATGTCTACATCCATGTCGTCGCAGTCTCGAAAGTTGGCGCTCAGCTCACCATCGCCACGTCCCAACCGACTTTCATACAGTGGACAATCTGCATCGTCTGATATGTTGAGGAGAGCTTTAGCAGCGCGGATCTCGTCAAAACATCTGAAGTTAACGAATGACTCCGTCGACATTGTGGAAAGATTCTCCTCCGTATCGACAGGGGATAACTCAAATTCAACGTCGTAGCCTTCGCGTAAGGTAGCGACGCCAGACATGCTATCTTGCAGAAACTCCGGTGCGTCTTCCGCCACCAAATTCTCGCGTTGGAAAACTTGAGCAACACATACTTCCCCACGCTCTTTCGATTCCGTAAAGACGCGCACCGGATCCCAGTTAGAGGCAACGCTGCTATCACCACAACCCATGTCCAATGTATTTTCAACGCGGTATAACTGATTCTTAGAGGGACTGGCACTCGTTGACGGATGATATGAACCCTTTAAGGCGTGGATTAGTCCCAAAATTTCCAGGCGATCCAGCTGAAGTTCTAGGAATAGATCTACCCATTTCCTGGACAAGGCCACATTGCTCAACTTATGGAACTCCGTTACATATGCAGAAAGAGAATCACGCGCTGTGCTTTCCTGGCGAAAGTCCTTTTTACTACGGAACGACGGACGATCTCTTCGCGGCGCGGTTTCCATTGCAGGCTCTTCCTTCCTGCTACGTAAATTGAGATTTAAAACAATAACCACAAAATGAGAACTCAGAATGCTTACTTCCGAAAGTTTCCACGAAGCTCACTTCCGAGGACGGTAAGGCACGCAGGGAAAAAAAGGTAAAAAAAATATGGCGAACATAAAGCAAGAATCGCCTGGAAAACATGTTCATGGAAGTGAAGAATCCGTCGCAATTCAACACGGCAAGTAAGCAAAGGTAAAGTTCAACAAAGTTTCCAATCATTCCCGCGAAAAAATTATAATACGGTAGAAATACGCAATCCAGTGAGCTGCGCATGAAACTAAATACAAAAAGCTTGAAGAATAATGAAATACAGCACGTTAAACAAAGCAGATGAAATTTCCCAAGAACAACCAGCGGCGTAACGACAGGAAGAAAAATCTACAATCGACACACAGACACTTGTGGCACTGGTTTCACAGTTACTTGAAATTAACATGCTTATCCATGTCTTCAGAGGGGGAAGATGAATTTGAAGCGATGGATACTGAAATCTGACTTTTATTGTCACAATTTACTGCACTCACTCACCCTCGAACAGGAAATAAACTTTTGTCAACCCTATATCATCTTGAGGAACACTGGACAATCGACGACGGGTATGATTCAAAACGAGCCAATTGATTTACAAGATATGAATCACCCTCGGGCAAACATCTGAGTAGACTGCGATGCTCTCACAAAGTCGATTTTGTTCATCAAATGGTTCAACAGAACCGGTCCTAATTCGGTAGCTCCGAAGTTTCAAGGTTCACAAAACGTACCCCCAACGAGGTCTTCGCTTCCACACTTCAAACTAATTTCACGAGGCACACCATCCAGTGTGACGAACATTTCATCTACCTCCGAACGGCTCCGCGACAACGATCCGGGAACAGGAAATAGTATGGATCCTAACAAGTCAACGCTTCTTACATGAGAAAGTGGAAAGCTTCGCGTAACCCTCAAATTACGGAACACGGAGCACGAACCTACAAAAACTCATGAAAAATAGAGCACGGGAAATCCAGAAGCGTTAACAAACGGGTTGTACGACTCAGTTAAGATAAATTTGGGTAAAGACACAGAACGAAAGAACACTATGCGTCAAACACTTAATGCCACAAATATTCCATGAAGTTAAGATGACATCGCTCATCACTCGTAATGAGAACGTAGAAACTCAGCGGAGATGAAAAACTCAAGTTTAGAACAAAATACACACATGACGAAAATGCATAACAAATATCGAGCGGGTGTACGACCAAAATCATTATCACCTGTATGATCTTACTTTACGTGAATCTATCGTAGAAAACCGTTCGTGGTCGATGGTACCAACGGTTTTCGATTCGGTATGACCCGGCGGCACTTTCAGAACTGGGAAAACTTAAGAAGTAGTTGCTGGGAATTTGGGCTGCTGAATGATCGAAGTCTTGCGGGCAGGAACAGTTTCCGGAGTAGGTATGGCATTGCCCGTAGGAGCCGATGTGATCAAAGGATTCTGAACCGCAGGCACGAGTCCAGCAGCGTTTCTCGGTCGATTCCCAAATGGTTGGTTACCAGCACGTTGTTTGTACATGTTGTAATCTCCCGAGTCGAAAAACTTTTGCTGCAAGGAAAAAAATGTAATGAAGATCAGTAAAATTACGTCAAAGGAATCAAGGGAGAAATTTTCCGCGGAAGGAGCAAAGCCGGAGTCAAATGACGATGGAAATCCTCGAAGAAAGAAACCAAAAACGATGCACGAACGATCGCGAATTTAGTATTAAAGACTCGGTAAGTTTTGCCCCTTTAAAAAGATTGGGAAAACTCAGATTATCATGGATACATGTACATTTCGTGTCGAAAATGAGTCAGAAAATCTACAACAGCATAAGACGGGGAAAATGTACAAACCCCCTTAGCGAGCCGCTTCTGAATGAAAGCTGTGTGACCGATGTGCGGTCCTTGTGCGGCTAAAGGGTACTTCGCCCGGAGCTTTTCTTCTTCTTTTTTCACGACGTCATCCGTTTCTTGACCCTAATGCGGATAAAATAGGGGTTAAAGCCGAATTCATGAAAAGATCGCAGCGAATGGTACCTCAGGTTTCGGTGGGGATGTTTCCATCGAGACTTCCGAACTATCACCACGGTCGTTGTCGCTCATTTCAATGTTAGAGTAGCACGGATCGTTCAAGTACCGACCTCTTTTGCACAAAGGAGCGAGTGAATAAGTGCTTGATGACGGAGACTTGGAGCGCATCCACCACTTTTTACAACCGAGGAATCTTCACGAATCCTCCGTAATGATGCAAAATTCTGAAACTTCAACAGACAATACATCGAGCGGCGAGCATGTCATAGCACTAGGTGTTCGCAACACGGCTTTGTCTTCGGCAATACAGCCTCTGGGTACGGTTCGGCTAAGGAACTACAGGATCAGTCAAATACTGTATGACCGAGCTTCATCAGGATTTTCACAGCTAGATTGTAATACTATGCTTGGCTATCTGTATGTTACACGCAACCGAGGTCAGAAAGTTGAACTAGAGCACATACTTCTCGAGTCAGGAGTAGAGAAACGCCATGATTCAATATGGAAAGGAATGGCTATCCCATAATCTCTCGTTCTCTTTTATCACGAAAGCGTCGTTGGGAAAAAATTCGCTCGGCTGAAAAACGATTCAACCTCTTTACAAAAGACGATTTCTTCAAGAAAACTAAAGCGTGCGCAGAAGCTTCCGGAATTGTCTCTGTCGATGATACGTACTTAATTTTCACACACCGCAATCACATGAAACTTCCGCAACATCACTTGTCACTCTTACATTAATCACACGTTTCGGAAGACATCAAGAACTCGCTTTCGCCGAAATTTCTTCGGGTGAAACGTGCACACGATATCTCGCGGTACACAATCTAATACCCCATTCAGTCAATGGCAACGAATAACGACGAAAAAACCTATCCTTTCTGGACAGCTCTCTGGAAGGATAGGGAACGAAACGCCTGAAAACGTTCGAAGGCGCAGCATCATAATCATTGGGTGAAGTGAACTGTCAGATCATCTTTGATACATTTGTTATAGATGTCACTTCTAAACATATTGCACTGAATCCAGCATCATAAACCGAAAATATTATACTGTACTGCTGTATAAGTGTTTTCAGCGTACGCAAAATATTTGGTATGCTTAGATGAGGAGCAAATAAACTTCCTTTGTTTCACCATTATCCAGTAAAGTAGAAAATGCTACGTGCTTAATAAGAGTGGAAATCCATGCTGCGGAGCCAGTGCGCATTGCAATTTGCGAATGTAAGAGTTTCTTGACTTGCATGGCAGCATAGGCTGCATGTTGAAAGCTTGTTGTATTTACAGTATATGCAGCAAAGGGTGCCTGTTATACAAACTCTATCTTCGGTGAGCTGATTTCATACAAGGGAAACCAAACATACAAGATTCTTCGGCCAAAATCAATAATGAGAGATTAAATGATCCACATCCACCGTCGAAATTTTTGCAAGTTAAAGGCGGACTAAAATTGAACTACGGCGGTATATACCTCATCTGGGTTGCACAAACTGCTTTTCGCGTCATAATTAACGCAAGATTTTAGGGGCGAAAATACTGTACTGTATTGTGTTTCCACATCGTAAGATTAGAAATCATTGATCGAGAAGGGTTGTTAATCGCCACTGAAATTTTAATTGCCCAATCGAAATCGCTTTCGGCATAAAAACTTTTCCAGAAATCTAAATCGCAATGCCTGCTGCATGTTGAATTTACTGCTGCCCAATTGAAATCGCAAGCATTGCGATTTCGATTTCGATTGAGCATAAAGGCATCAAAATTCACAACACTGATGCAAACTAGCTTTTCGAGGATTATCTCCATATTTCGTGGACATTCGAAAATGTCGAATATCGATTTCTGAACAGGCAGTAAAAAACGTCATCGGAATGCTTACCAACCTTTGGTTTCACGAGCACATTCCATAATTCATTAACGGATTTTAGTGATACTGTATACTGATATTAAATCCCCGCTTTGCTTATGAATTGGATAAAAAGAGATTAAGGTTGGAATTAATAACGAACAATCGCAATTTCCAGGTTATAACTATCAAATAAATAGACTGCTGCTTTTTGCGTTGAATTAAGAGTTAATAACAGTTTGCTAGAGTTCATAGATGCCGGACAGTTTTCTTGATAGACCGAGCAGCTCTCTTCTTCTTATTTATCTTTTTTCATCCCACGCGACTTGAATGGTTTTATCAACTAAAGCTTAATTTAGTGATTTTATGCTTCTTTTATTTTTTTATTTTTTTTTTATTTTGTAAATTTCTTATTCGAGATTTCATTTTTTCCATTGCTTTGTACCCGATGTCCGGAGTGAAACTCGAAAGTGCTTTCTTGACTATTGCAAGCAAGTTTTTACGAATAAAAATAAAAAGAGATTGCGCCTGAAAGTAGTTTGTTGACATGAAAGACATTCAGCAGAGCCCTGCTCATACCTTTCCAGCATGTTCAAATAACTCCAATAGAAGGATATTTTACCCGAGAATATTTCAGGCAGGAAACACAATTCAAAAAAGCCTCTGAGGGATCAATATGTAGAAGATCACCACCGAATTAACCAGAAATAACATTTTTACTACAATTCTAAAAGGATATACTGTACTGTACTTCATTTTCCAATCGAGCATCTTGTCTAATCAAAGAAAACATCCATTGACAGGAGATTTCGAAATTAAGTAGCATTTTCATGGTTGAAAACACAAAGATATATTTAGACTATTCTTGTTTAGCACAATTAACAACACATGTACGACATTTATCCAGGATAAGGAGCAAAAATTACGATGCTTGTATCATCAGCAGCTGAACTCCATTTGTATGTTCAGAGCTCAGCTTACATATCCTGTCTTTTATCAAACAAGAGACAAGAAGCAATCCAAAAATCAAATGTATCCCGCTTTTGGAATTGTTGGAAACTTTTTTTTCTGGTGAATTTGGTAGTAAGCTACTATAACATATATCCACTTCACTTTTTGTAAACGCAAATCAATTGAATATTCTGAGGAAAATATTAAAATGCTGCATTAATTCAATTTTCAATTCATCTGGAAATCATTTATCCTGAAGCTCGAAAATTATGCAGAGAGTTTCGATTGCAATTTTATTAGTTTACCCCAATCTCAAGCAAATTCACTATAGTACTGCAAAAATTTAATGCCCAATCAAAATCAAAATTTATTTTCAGGAATTTATTAATGCCCAATTGAAATCGCAAGCATTGCAATTTTGATTGAGCTTATTGCAATTGGGGTTACTTCTGGCGCAATTAACAATTATAGTGAGACCCCCACATCCGGACACCTTGAACTGCGAACAATTTGACATAGGGACACTTATTTTCCCAGAAAATATTAATAAAAAGGCCCAACATGCGGACACTGACTCAACATAGGGAAATTTTGTGATAAAATTTCAAATCCATTTCAGGCCAAATTACAAGAAACAGATATTTCCAGCCCTAAAATTTATGTAAGAAAAGTTCTTGGGAATTTCTCACAGATCTGACCATCGTCCAAAGATGGAGATTTTGGAACGGAGTATGTTTACAATAGTCTAGGGAACAAAGAATGCAAACAATTTTTTTCAGGGAATTCTGAAGAATATTTCTCCCATAAAACATCAATTAAAATTATATAATGTAAGTACTGTATATGGGAAAACAAGACATGACTTAGCAACGATTCAACTTAGGGACACTCTTGATGCATCAATTATGTCTGCATCTCAGGGTCTCACTGTACTTAGAGAACAATGAACAACTTTGAATGATGAATAATAATTGAGTTTCTTTGTTCCCTAGACTATTGTAAACATACTCCGTTCCAAAATCTCCATCTTTGGACGATGGTCAGATCTGTGAGAACCAATTGCTCCCTGGTTCCATTTGAAATACATATATACAAGGTGGGGCAAAAGAAAGTGAACCGATTTTTTGAAATAGGATATCTCTGTTAAAAATTAAGCTACAACAATAAAAAACCAGATGAAAGCTTATTCAATTCTCTTTCAAGTTTTTGTTTGCTTATAGTCATAATTGTTATCAAATGGTCACAAAAATCATTTGAATGAAAACTTAGAAGAAAAGGTTGTCATGCAACTCGTCCCGTGCACTAACAGCTGCTGTGTCCATAACCCTCAAAAAATTACTTTAAAATTAGGACAACCCGCATCAGTGCACCAGAAACAAAATCCAAGATAAATACAGACAGGAAAATAAATAAGCCCATAAAAACCCACCCAGGCAAAAACCAGTAGGAAAAAAAATCATCATTGGCATGCATACACAAACTTGGACACAGGAAATCACGCCACCAGGCAACCACGCAATCATCTCACTAAACATTCATTGGAAGATGAGCCAGAAAAATCATGCCTGGGTGGACAAAGCAATGCCTAAAAATCCTGCCATAGTCCAGAGAGAAAAAAATCCTCACTGGGATGCACTGGGAGCAGTGAAATATCTCACTCATCAACTTTTTTCCTCACTCCTACCTTTTCATGTTAATTTTCGGAATGTGTGCATAGTGTGGAAGGTATCATGGATTTGCTGGTTAAATTTCTGCACCCCACTTATCCGTAAAAACAGTCTTGAAGATGAAGAGTTGTGAGGGATACTCCAATGCAAATGTGCAAATTCCCTCCTCTCCACCCCCCCCCCCCATGCACCCGACGGGCACCAGACATTTTCTGGACCAAACATAGTTGTTGAAGCTGCACCTTGAAATGTCCTCTGAGATTGTAGAATTTGTATTTGAAATTGTTTGATAGGCAGGCAGTTATTT